ATACTAATAAGGGATATCACTTGCATTTTATTATATTGTAAAATAACGGATAGTTCAGAAGTATATTAGCGTATAATGTAATTTAATTAGTTGGTAGCGTCAACAGATAACTAGAAACGTATTTTTATACTGATATAGCGGTTATGTTTTTGTGTATTGTTTAAAACTTATTATTATTGTGGTCGAGTCGCTCGGACTGAACTGTAAGTATGTATGATGAATTCGTGTTAATAAATGTTAAAATTACATATTTGTATGATACTGTATTACATTACGAATAAATAAATAGTTTAAATTACAATTTTACATAATTGGCTTTTATTTCCCTGAAAGTTACAGATCATTTATATTTTTTTTTGTGGGCTTCCCTACAATGCAAATAGATGGCGCTGCCTTGCAGATTAAGAAAGGCTAGAAAGAATTCAACACTTCCATCAGAACCGCGGAAGCAAAATTGGTCAGTGTATTTGCCCGGATAGCAAAGGGTGCGGGTTCGAGCCCGTCTGCTGTCTGGTCTGCATGGAATTTTTTCTAGTAATGTTTTCTTTAGTTACAGATCATGTTTTCCTACGATATAAATCACGCCAACAAAGATAACACATCTAAAGTGGCAACTAATTTATTGTCTCTCTCAATCTTCATGACATGACAGGATATAATTTTTAATATAATAATATAATATAATATTATATTTTCTTTAGATTTAAACATCAAGCAGTTACATGCTTTAAAAATAATAAAAATTATAACTATAATTGCTATTTCTTCTTTCAAATGTTTAATACTTGTAAAAGTATTCATTTGACATTGTGGGTTTACCTATAATGCGAAGAGATGGCGCTGCCTTGCAGCTTAAGAATAGCTAGAAAGAATTTCGACGCGGTCCGTGAGGGCCGCGGTAGCATAATTGGTCAGTGCATTCGCCCGGATTGCGAAGGGTGCGGGTTGAGTCCCGTCTGCTGCCTGGTCAGCGTGGAATTTTTTCTAGTTATATTTTCTTTAGATGACAGGATATATTTAGAGCCATTACACACTGTCGACTGGTCGCCGGCGTGACTGACTATAGTTTAAATATGTGTTGACGCACTTGGTCGTCGGTCGACTCGACAACTCGCCGTGTAGAGCCATTACGCACTGTCGACTGTTCGCCGGCGACTCTATAGGTAAATAAAGGACTAAATAGGTATATAGTGACGACGATATGTGTATTCTTATTTATACACTTCTGGACACATCTATTGGCCCACCTTAGAGTTTAGGTTTCGATGGCCCCTACCGAAATATGATTGCTAGATTGAACAAAAACTGTTGATGCAGTTTTAAACCTGATACATTTTACCATCTTTTTCCATCTGATTTTCATAATACAATTTAGTTAAGACGGCCCCAATTTTAGACTTTGTTAAGTCTTATCTTCAGACACTTTTTTTATTCCATACTTAATCGAAACGTATTTACTTACGTATTTCTAATTTTAAGTATTTCTAATCCAATAAAAATAAGACAACTTTCTAAAAAAAATGCGTTCTTTTGATTTAAAACAAAGAGTGCACTCTTATTTAAAAAAAAACCCTTGCAGTGTGTATTTTTAGATTTCCATACTTTATAAAATTTATTTTCGGCTGTGAGGCGTCAGGCACGTAGTATCGCGGTGGCCCACACCCACACCGGCCACGCCTTACGCTGCCTCTGAGGCCAAAGTATGTGATTCTGATCCATTCCTGGCTGGCCATATTTATTCAGGTGTCTGCCTATAAGTTTGGATTTCTCGTGCATGGCAAATGAGAGAAAGGAATGAGCCCATGGCACATGGGATGCACCATACCATACACATATACTATTAACGTATATAAATATAAATGCAATGTCAAATATTGCAAATTTGTCTTAGTTTAATTTAAGTATTGTGAGATTTAAATGTATTTATTTTCCATATTTTTTGTAAAAATATTTTATTTTAATGCTTTCGAAGGCATACAAGCGGTCGGGTCACCTGATGTTAAGTGGTCACCGTCGCCCATCGACATGAGCATTGCCAGTGATACACTTTTTACTAATATGTGAACTCGACTCCCAACTTGTATTAATCTCGGAGTGCTCACCATAAAAGCAAGGGCGGATCCAGAGGGGGGGGTCATGGGGGTCATGATCCCCCCTGGGCTGGGTACAGATGGACCAAACCCAGGGGGATTTTATTTAAGTACTTTCAATATTTAATATACCACGACTATATGACCCCCCCCCCCCTGGCGCCAAAGCTGGCTATATGACCCCCCCCTGGCGCCAAAGCTGGATCCGCCCTTGCATAAAAGAGCCTGTAGAATACACGTAGGCAACCAAAGTCCCTGCTCAGTTCTACAGGCTCCATGTTTTCCGTTGGATTAGAATCAAAGACAATCCAAATTACTCGTCTTTGTAAAGAATCGAGGGGATCCAACTGGTAAGGGAGGTCCAGCCCAAATATATGAGCAGTAAGTTGTCGTCAGTAACTCGTGGGGTCTAATTTACTCTTTGCAAAGCAGAAGCTTTTGCTTAGACGTGAAGTACTGCTTGGAGTAATTGGAGACGTAGCTTCTCCATTGTCCAAGGTCGAGTTGGAAGCGAAGAGTTTGACTAGTAGGTCGGCCTTTGCTTTCGCACTGAGGGCTATAGCAAAATCTGGTTTACATAGGGGCGAAATGGAAACCAGTCAGCTTTGGCAAGCGACTAAAAATGCACGGCTACTAGCCTTTTCTTCTGATATGATGTGCCTCCGCTTTCTCCTTACGCTCTTTCTTGTCTTTTTGTGGGACCTCGAAGCGCATTAAATTATTTCTTTCCCCTTTTTAAATTCGGAGAGTGACATATTTTAACCGAATGCCATGAATTCAACACGTGCAGCATGGTCTACACTGACCCAATTGAACCAAGGGCGGCTGCGGCCCCAAACGGTTATGCTATGGTTGAGAATGAATAAATCCACCCAAATAATTACCATGTCACTCCACAATCGGCACATGTGTCAGGTTCATAGAATTCTCGAAGAATATTCCAATCTGCCAACTTATATTGCCCGACTGCCAAAACGATTAGCTGGTACCACGCAACGGGGTCTGTAGAACGAATCGGGCAATGATGACGACCTTATGGGACATCGACCACTACTTTGTGTTCGTCTGGTTGTCGTTAAAAGCGGATCCAACAGGATGGTTCAGGGCTCTCAATATCTGGAAGGCGAGTTGGTTGCGACACCATTTTGGGAAAAAGCAGAGCAGTCATCAAAAGCTTGACGCTTGTCGTCACTCCAACCAAACCTGATAATCTTATATATAAAATTCCCGTGTCACAATGGTAGTCACCATACTCCTCCGAAACGGCCTGATCGATTTTTATGAAATTTTATATGCATATTCCGTGGGTCTGAGAATCGGCTACTGGGCCCAATTCTGGAGACCCAACTTATATCTAAAACTAGATAGAGTTGTCAAATTCAATTTGGTATTCTGACACATATCTATTTTTCATATCCTTAAGTGATAATGGTTGTCCACCTGTAACGAGTGTTCTGAAACCTGAAACCTACAATGCGCCTTCGCGTCAAAATTTATAGTATTGGGTATTGTAACGTAGTGTTCTCATATGGGTTAGGAGGAATGTTATCCGAGGAAATTGATAGAACACTACGTTACACACCCCTTATTTGTTTTTTCTGGACAATTTTTTTTTATAATGTTTGTATTAAAAAATACATACAAACCTAAATTTTCTCTTCTACCACCTGCCGCAATTTTTATGGCGGTACGAAGTTCGCTGGGTCAGCTAGTTTATATAAGTATAATAATATATTTCTCGTATAATTTAATATATAATTTATCATATTATAATTATGTAAAATGTTGTTTCCCACTGGTATTGTTGGGTAATTTCTTTCAAAGTCAATCCCATTGCACCCCCCACCTGGCGCCCATGAATGAGCCGTTTATCAATCAAGTCCAAAATCTAAATATTTTAATGAGGAAGAGACGTAGTCATTATTAAGTTGAAGGAGATATTTTAAACATATTATTTCATTTATTTGTTAATAAAAACAAAATATAACGGTTTTTTTATGAGATTCCTTATTATTTATCCCAATTTTAGAAACCTGCACAATTGACTGCTAAATAATCATGAACCGACACGAGCCTGCTTAAAAACATAGGTTTCCGATCTGGATAACTAACTTGTTAATGCCTTGGAATTAGAATGAGTAATTTATCAATGCATTTCTATATTTTATTAAAAACATATGTCTTTTTTTCAAGACAGTAGGTATGTTTAAAGAGTAAGTACCTACATTTGCTTTGCTAAAAAAATAAAAAGTCAATTCAAGTACAATCGTATGAAAAACCTTTGCACGGCTTAGAAGGTAACGAAGAAACACAGAATTTTGCTACTAAGATACTATTTTCACTATTATATCTCATTGAACTAGGAGATTAACTCCGGCCGCGCGGCCCTGTAATTGCGTTAGTGAGTGTGGTATTTGGGTGTGTTAGTTTTGCCGTGCTTTTCAACCTCGAATGTTTGGTCTGCTCCTTTAAATTCTAAAGTCTGTGGTAAAACAAAGCATAATTTTAAAGGGTTTTTTGGCGGGATTTCATCGAGTGCGGTTGGCTTATTATTTTAATTATTCTTAAATTCGTTCATTGTGGATATTGTGAAATAAAATTGTTGTGATTTTGTGTTACAATCATCTAAGCGACTGAAGAATTAGTGGAATCTTTAAAATATACGTTATTTTGGTCAAGTGGACGTGAGATCTTTACTGTAGTGTTGACTACCTCACAGAAGCTATCGAAAAAGCCAACTTGATAAACTTCGTGCCAAAAACTCCAAAAAATAATAGAATGCGTCACACCGACATTGTAACGTCAAAAAAAAGACTTCATATAACTGAAGAGGAGGCTGTATGGGCATTGTCCATTTGCTTTCCCAAAAAGGGAGAAAAAAAACAAAGTTTATATACCTCCCTTGGCTACTTTTTTAATTTTAAAATAAAATTTTAAATAGAAATAAATAAAAAATGAATGAAGTTAAGACGAACCAGCAATATAATGACAAAGAAATACAAATACGCCCAGCTAAAAAGGAGGATATGAAGGCTGTTACCGAAATGATTCAGGTTTGAAAATATGGACCAACTTTAGATTTGATTTTCTGATAGGTAATTTAGGAAAACAAAATTATTTTGTAAGAAGAATTTAGAAGAATTACATTACCTATCCATATATATATATTATTGATCACTATCTTAGAACATAAAGAAATATTTTTTGTTAACTCTGATATCGTTAATAACAGGAACTCGCCGATTTTGAAGAGATGCCCCAAGGTCCTAAAATGTCGATGAGAGGTTCGCATATATTTTTCTAGTTTTTTCTAAAAGTGTTATTTATGTCATAGAGTTTTAACATTTAACTTAATCTGCAGAGTTGGAGCGTGACGGATTTGAGGTTAGCCCGCCGGCCTTTCGGTGCAAGATAGCAGAGTTGAAGGGAGCTGTGGACCAGCCAGTGATCGGTTATGCTCTGTATTTCCCCACATACTCCACATGGGAAGGGCGTTCTATGATGCTTGAAGATTTGTATGTGAAAAACAGTGAGCGTAAGCGTGGTGTTGGAAAAAGGCTTTTCAATGCTGTTGCTAAGGTTTGTCTTCTCTATTTTGTACTTTGTTTTACTTACATACATTTTAAAACCTCTGAAATATTTCAAAAGATGGCTTAATGAAATCACATTCAATATTTTATTTCCAGGAAGCTTTGACCACTGGGTGTTCACGTTTAGATTTCCATGTCCTAGAGTGGAACCCGGCCCGGTCTTTCTATGATGCTAAAGGAGCTGTAAACTTGACCAACTCCGAGAAATGGTGCTACTACCGCTTAACTGGGGAAGCGCTCCGGAACGCTTCCAATGAGGGAGGGGAGGCATGAAAACTACATGCTGTGCTCAAATATATATTCCATGTAATATAGTCATTTTTGTACAAATACTTCTTGTTGATTGTTACAAAAATTAGCATAATATCAATGTTCTGTGATAAAATCTGTGCACTGATGGTTCAAAACAAAGATTGTTTATAAATTCACAAAAACAGTTTCTCTAAACTTTAAAATAATATTTACAACTATGTTATAAATGCAATTTATTTTGCTTAACACTAACTTAACTGGCAATGTTTTTGAAAATGTATTGTGGTAAAGCACTTGTTACTAGTTATTTAAATCTTTGTCTTATGTTTAATTTTAAATTATTTTGATATTCATGTGATAATAAACAATACTGATTAATGTTACTACTTTATCTAATTATTTACAATAAGGCAAGATGTCATAGAATCAAGAAGTGTTGCTGTGTTTTACTGTTGATTTAAATGAAAACTCAACTGGAATTCTCGTATCTACAACTTATCAATGTGTAAGTGTTGTACTATCATTTAAACCAAAGTCATGATACAGGTACTTCACATTTCTTATAAAGAAAGCTTAAGTACTATATCAGGAGCTGGCGAACAAGACAGTATAAGTATGTATCTGGTCAAACTACTTTTCTTTACAGTCTGGTTTCGGGCAAGTTGATTTTGAATCTTAAATAATTTTCAATCAAAACCGCCTAAAATAGTGATAAATTAGTAAATTTATAAATTAAAACCATGCCAAAAGCTCACTGGAGGTATGTCATTCAGTTTTATATAGCTCCTGTAAAATTTAATTTTATGTAATTATACCGCTTTGTTTGCCAGCTCCTCAATTAGATGCTGCAGCAAATAATGTAATAATTTTAATTAAAGATAAATATTTCACAATGTTGCAAAAACAAATGTAGCAAAGTATTTGTTTAATCAAAATTTATTTAGAGAAAGTCTGTCCTGTTATTCCGATTTAATCAAGGACTTACATTTTTGTGAACTAACTTTTATATATTTCTATCTTGATTGCCTGAGACTAGTATTACTTCAGATATGGAGACTCAGTTTCTATTTTAACTACGATTTATCAATAATACTTAACACAGTTTCAGTCTGTAGCCATCACCTACGGCCACTCCGCGGCGTACAACTAAAGCCAGGAACATATTAACGTGTCGTGGCGTGACGTGGCGCATCGGTTTCATCAGGCCAGGTCCGATTTTTAAAAATCGGGAGGCGTTACAGGTAATAACAGTAGATGTATGGAAACAGCTAAAAACAGTAGATGCAGGGTGCAGGGGTGTACTTTTTCCGGTTTGCACCCCCCCCCCCCCCCCCCCCTAGAAATGGTAAATCAAATCAAGAAATCAAGATAAACATCAGTAACGAATGTGTTTCTGTGGCTTCTTTAGACAATTACATTTATTTTATAATTATTAAGGTTATCTACATTATTAATGACGAAAAATGCAACTCAACATGCAATTTTAAAAAGAAAATCGTTTTCTAAAAAAACAGGAGATTCATGTAGAAAAACAGTAGAACAGGAGAAATTTTAGAAAAACAGGAGATATCCTGTAAAATCTGGAGACCTGGCAACACTGGAAACCGATGTGCTTCTGGCGCGCCACGACACGACACGACACGTTAATATGTTTCTGGCTTAATACAGCCTGATCGTAACACCTAATCATACCTATTATCATACAGAGCATAGCTTAATGATTAAAGCTAGTATTTACAATGAACATTTTACAATAGTTACCGCGGTCGAATCTATACGGCAACGAAATGTATTTTAATATTAAAAAAGCGTGGCGGAGATCACTCTTGTCGTTATAAATACACAAATACTTCTCCATTTTATGCCAGCTCTTCATATGGGTATTCGTATTTGGTATTTGTAAACTTGGCAATAGTCTCTCTTTTTCACTCCTTAAAGAGTGATAAGGACAACCTGCTGTCAAAATGACAAATAGCTAACGAATCGCCATGTGAAGCACAAGCATCACAGTCGGGGCCCGAAGTTTGAAGTGCGGGAAGCCCTTCATAATATTGTTATTTTTTATCTCTATTGTAGGCCACAGTCCCGTAAAGTCGGCCTGATCACAGTAATTACATTTACAGAATTATTTATTTATAAGTAGGTGTATAAGTATCACACATAGTGTGTCTAGGGGCAGTTGTTCTCAGTCTACGGGTGGACTGACTCGTGGAAGCACTGCGAGGATTTGTCCCATCGGTGGGGCACTAGGAGTATGTCCCGTCGTCGCTACGTGGAGGCCATGAGCTTGGCGTGTGCGGTCACGTTGCGTTGGTGCAGGAACCCGCTACCCTCTTCTTCCTCACCGTTGCTTAGGCCATACTGAAATGGTGCAAAGGGAATTTTAGTTTGTCATTTATGACAGTTTTTATTTTGGGTAACTTAATTAGAGTTTGTTGTATGATATTAGCAGATCTGATAGATATAGTGGTGTCTGAAAATATTACGACAATTCCTAGAACCCGACTGCAGTGTCATCTACTAGTCCATGTGGCTCTTAGTCATTCAGGGACTTACTCCAATGTCCATAACAAAAAAAAAGATCAAAATAGGTCCAGCTATTTGGGAGAAGTTCAAGAACAGAATCAATGAAAGAAAAACATGATAATACCTATGTTATATTATCATTTGGGTAATTTAATTTGGTGGTTTGGACACCTACGCCCGGTAGTTATCAATCTTATATGGGTGCTGCAATGTGTGGTACTCTTTTTGATGTGTAACATCTTTCCTCTCGCTTTCCTGCAATTTGTGGGAGTGATTTTGTGAAATGGGACGGAAGTGTGTAACAGGAAGTCGAGAAAGCGCGCGGATTTTATTTTAGTACATAATGGCAATCAAATGGCTTATTCCTTTTGTAGTAGGTTTTATTTCTTTTTTTACTAATATAAGGTGAGGTTTCAAATGTTACACATCATACGCGACTACTGTAAGGCTGTATGCTGTATGCTGTTGGTCGCAGATGACCTTTACAGCGTCACCGAGTTTGGGGACGGCGAGATCCTAAGGGGACCTCAAGCTGAGAGTTGGCGAGTGCGTCTAGAGGTATTGCAGGCGGATGGCATCTCCCCACGCGGGGAGTCTCCTCTCCGTCTGGAGCCTCAGCCGAACCTGAGGGGGTCGGCTCAACTAGAGGGCGTCTCTGAGACTCGGACCTCGGCTCTAGTTAGCCGTTGTCGTGGGAGTCAGGGAAAAACGCCCAGGTACGAACTTGTACCTGGTATAGCGTGTCGTGTGTGACCCGGTCTTCGCACTCTTATCCTACGGGTATTTGACGTAGTCGTCATGTAAGTACCCGTCTGATGGTAGTTTACCATCGGGCGGAACATAACCATGCTTATTTGTCATGCTTTTTTACAGGCGTACTTAGAAAAGTCAAATTAAAGCTTATTAAGTCAAGTGTCTGCGATCGTTGAAGTTAAGTAACTTTCGCAGTGGTCGGTCATTGGATGGGTGACCAAAAATTTACTATTTCGAGCTCCGTGCTTAGGAAGGCACGTTAAGCCGTTGGTCCCGGCTGCATCTGCAGTCGTTAGCACCCGCAAATCCGCACTGGGCCTGCGTGGTGGGTCATGGCCCAATCTCCCTATTCCATCCATAGGGAAGGCCTTCGCCCCAGTAGTGGGATCATTAATTTTATTTTATTTATTATAATGTGAAGTGGCAGCATTATTAGTAGAGGAGTTCAATCGGGGATTTCGGTATTTATTCTTGCGCGGCAGAAAAACGGCCATGACTTTTGGTCTAGTCTTAAACGTCAGTTTCTTAATAGAGGCGATTAGAGGGTTTATGTAATGTTCCTGATGACGGAAAAACTTTTAATCTATCGGTTCGCATTGTGTGGGGTGGCTGTACGAAGGTAGAATATAGGAAACAAATATTCGAGCACTTTAGACATCGAGAAGTTATTTTACGTAAAGTAGCTTCTATTCAAAACACTGATGATGCAGAGTCCGAATTATCACTTCCAAATTTCGGACTGTCAGGAGGCCGGCGCTGTTAGTCTTTTAAAAAAAACAAAGTAAGGTAAAACACCCAATTTTCGACAAGGCACCATTGTCCGACATTAAAAATGGTTGCCTGTAAAGTCGGTTTTACGGGCGAAGATTTTACGTGACAACGTCTTTTTCTCGGTAGAATATTTATTGATATGAATATAATTAAATTGCACAATAGGAACAAGGAATTGAATGAAAATAAGAATTGCACAAATTTTAACTATAGAAATATATTTTGTTTACTAAAACATTGTACATGTAAACTTAAACTCATCGTAACGTTACCGAGCGTTACACTTTTTCATAAGTGACTCCCAGCCGCAACCTAATTTAAGACGTTGTCACGTCAAAAACAAAACAAAGAAAAATAAGAATATATTCTGACTTCTGAACACATTTGAAGCGTAAACTATAGACGAGGATTATCTAGCTGTCATTGCTGATAACGTTTCATTTTTTCGGCAATTTTGTACAAAATGGCGTAATGATATGTTTCGACCGCGGTAGATCTCCAACCAAATCCAGTTTTATTAGTGAAATCGCTAAGGAGGTGAGTAAGATTTGTTGCTCATAACTTTTAATGGTTTTGTTTTATCTAAAACGTTAGTTATTTATTATATGAGGATAGAAATTCACAACTGCTTTTGACGTGACAACGTCTTAAATTAGGTTGCGGCTGGGAGTCACTTATGAAAAAGTGTAACGCTCGGTAACGTTACGATGAGTCTCTCGTGTTAAGTTTAAGTTTACATGTACAATGTTTTAGTAAACAAAATATATTTCTATAGTTAAAATTTGTGCAATTCTTATTTTCATTCAATTCCTTGTTCCTATTGTGCAATTTAATTATATTCATATCAATAAATATTCTACCGAGAAAAAGACGTTGTCACGTAAAATCTTCGCCCGTAAAACCGACTTTACAGGCAACCATTTTTTTTTGTTTTTTTTTTGCTTTTCCATTCTTCGACAAATGTCGAAATGTTTTTGACGTGACAACGTCTTAAATTAGGTTGCGGCTGGGAGTCACTTATGAAAAAGTGTAACGCTCGGTAACGTTACGATGAGTCTCTCGTGTT